CAGTGAATGTGGGAAGTGCTTCAGTCAAAGGTCTGACCTCACTAAACACCACAGTGTTCACACTGCAGTAAAACCTTACAAATGTAGTGAATGTAGGAAATCATTTAGGTGCAGTTATGACCTCTCTGTCCACAAGAGAGTTCACACTGGAGAAAACCTTTACAAATGTAGTGAATGTGGAAAATCATTTGCACGCAGTTATCACCTTTTTATCCACAAGAGAGTTCACACTGGAGAAAAGCCCCATCAATGTAGTGATTGTGGGAAATGCTTCAGTCAAAGCTCTAACCTCATTCAACACCACAGAGTTCACGCTGGAAAAAAACCGTATGCCTGTAGTGATTGTGGGAAGTCATTCACGCAAAAGTCCACTCTCACAGGTCACCAAAGAGTTCACACTGGACGAAAGCCATATGAGTGTAGTGATTGTGGGAAGTCATTCAGGCGAAAGTTCACTCTCACAGCGCACAAGAGAGTTCACACTGGAGAAAAGCCATATGAGTGTAGTGAATGTGGGAAGTCATTTAGGCAAAAGTTCGCTCTCACAGAGCACCAGAGAATTCACACTGAAGGGAAGCTGTATGAGTGTAGTGATTGTGGGAAGTCGTTCAGGCAAAAGTCCACTCTCACAAAGCACCAGAGAGTGCACACTGGATAAAAGCCATATGGGTGCAGCGATTGTGGGAAGTCCTTCAGTAATAGGTCTATCCTCACTATACACCAGAGAGTTCACACTGGAGAAAAGCCATATCAGTGTAGTGAATGTGGGAAATCATTCAGGCAAAGTCCACTCTCACTCAACACCAGAGTGGTCACACTGGAGAAAAGCCTCATGAGTGTAGTGAGTGTGGGAAGTCCTTCAGCAGACGCTCTACTCTCATTTGACATCACATAGTTCACACTGGGAAAGGGCCTCATGAGTGTATTGAATGTGGGAAATCTTCACTATAAATCTGTCCTCCTTTAACACTTGAGAGTACACACAGGAGAAAAGCTTTACATGTGCAGGGAATTTTTTATCTTCCTCACTCAGAATAGCAACACTGAAGGAGAAGCATTTACCCCATTTTACCTGAATAGGATCCCCTTTCACCAGAACGTACAATCTGCTACATTCCTCCTAAGTTTCAGGTACAATTGAGGTTTGAAGAAACTGCATTGCACCTGCTAACCTAGTCAGGCCTACGACATGATTGATGTCACTGTGAGTATTTGTGTACAAAGGATCTCACCTCTACCATCTGGCTCACCTGTATAGTGTGCGTCAGTCACAATCCTTGCATAAACTGGGGTTGTGCTTGAGGAAATTATGAATATTCGAAGCTCCTGGCTAGATCTTCATTCCTTTATTTCTGACCAGAGAATTGACCTGACCCAGGTTTCATCCGGAGCACCCTCCTCAGCTAAGTGCTTCCTCTTTCAGGGATATTGTGGGACTCACATTGTGCTGTGAGGAAGTGTTTCAGGTTCCAGTTCATCAACCTGTAAACCTCTTGCTATCCTCTGGTTTATGATCTTTATGTAAAGGTGTTTTTCCTTTAATTTTATTGGTTATATTCTCTACCTGGGATGATTGAAAGGAAAGTTGTGATGTGTCAGCATGGACAGGGGAACAGATATGGTGGGTCCTAAATTTTCTGTGCTTTGGAAGGCACAGCTTGATGGGAGAAAATCACTCTTTGTCCAATATTGGCTGATTTTGTATTGCTAACCAAGGCTTGAGAGAGAGTGTGCATGACTTTGTGGTTGTAATTTGTTGTCTGGAGCCTCTTATATTGTAGAGCCAATGGCCGCCCTGAACAGGCAGCCTTTATTGTGCTTCTGTGAATGATTTGAAGTATATTCTCTGTTCACAGTATGTATTACACAAGTGTCAGCAATGTTTAGGGGAAGTACTCTTCATGTGCTCCAAAGAGGCCATGTGTCACAATGTGTGAGATTTCATAGGCTGGTGTCATTTATTGTAAGACTCTGAGGTGGAATTAGTTTGGGAGTTTGGGAGATAAACACTGTTTTGCTATTCATGGCAGACACTGCAGTTAAACTGGTTAAAAAGTGCCTCTTTTGAACATAAATCCAAATTATTTCATGTCCTGTGACTTGTATGATTTCTGAGGACGTCCATCACTGTTTGCTGTGGCTGGCATCACTGGCAGACAAAAGCATCTCATGGTTGTGTGGATTCCCCTGCCCCCTAGGCAGTGGTGGGCAAACTCATTAGCCAACAGAGCCAAATATCAAAAGTACAATGATTGAAATATCTTTTCAGAGCCAAATTTTTTAAACTTAAACTATATAGGTAGGTACATTGTTATTAACTTAATTAGGGTACTCCTAAGGCTTAGGAAGCGCCACACTCAAGGGGCCAAAGAGCCACATGTAGCTCGCAAGCCACAGTTTGCCGACCTTGGCTAGGGTATTCACATCAAGGTTGTTGCTCAACAGGCAAGACCTCACAGCTAGAGGAAGGATAATGCTGTAATCAGCCCCATAATGTGTGTTTTGTAACCAGTCAGCATTCCTGTTGATTCCAATAGTAATAGTCTTCCCTACTTGACAACATTTGCTGCCACTGAGGCAAGGCTCATCCTGTGAAACGGTCACATGTGAAATAAACTCACCTGCAACTCATACACAGGGTGGGGCAACAATAGGCTCATAGTTGTATGTTTGGAAAAACACAGAGATTATTCTTTTTAAAAATATGTTAGAAAATAATTTTATTCTTTTTTGGGGGCGGAGAGAGAGTAAGAGACTGAAGAGAAAGGTAAACATAGATCTGCTGCCTCCTGCATGCCCCCTACTGTGGATTTACATGGGGATGTTCACTGACCTGGAATCAAACCAGAGAGCTTTCAGTGAATGGGGTCACACCCAATCAACTGAGGACACTGGCCGGGGCAGATATTATTCCTGTATTATTATTGTTATTATTATTATTATTATTATTGTATTATTTTCCATACCAGCAACTCTAAACCTACTTTTTGCCACATCCTATATTTTCCCAATACCCTGTTATAATCTCACTCTCTGCCTTTCTCGGCCCTCCATACAGTCATGGATTTTCTTTTCTTTACAAGAGAATAGTTCATATTGTTCATAATTTTATAGGGACTACTTGGTGTGTACTCTGTAACAAATACTCGTTTCCTCCCTGTACATAGAAATTTTGAGATTCAACAAAATGCTTATGTGAAAAGATAAATTACTTATTTCTGAGTAGCACTGTGTTCGGTGAATAATCACTATATCTATTGATCTGTATATGTGTTTTGTTATTTCCAGGTTTGGGGTAATATAAATAAATCTTCTGAAAATATTTGCATTCAGTTCTCTATATAGACATATGTTTTTCTTATCAAATTGTTGTGTAGGTGAATGCTTTATATTTAAGATATGTGAACCTATGAGCCAACGTGGTCATTCCCTTTGCATTTCCCCTAACCCACAGTATATAAAAATTCCAATTTTTCTGCTACCCTCCAAGGACATACAATGGTTAACCTTTTCAAATAGTAACCCTGGAAATGCATATAATGTTAACTCGCTTTCATTTTAATTCCATCTACCTAAGAGTTTTTTATGGTGAACCTTTTTTCATACATTTATTTGCACTGTCTTATCTCATTTGTTAAAATGTCTGCTGAGAATCATTTTCAAATTGTTTAAATAAATTTATTATTTTAACTCAAGGAGGACCGTGCAGAATCTAGGACATCTGCTCAAATTTCCCTCATTCCCCAGTCACTCAAGTGACTCCCCTTCCATATGGAAGCATTTCTTTTGAATCTTGGATGGAAAATTGTTTTACTCAGTTTTAATGCTATGTACAACTGAAGCCCACTTATATACTTATACATTTAATGTGCATTGATAGCATTCGGAACCACTCTTAAGTCTAAGCATTTTTTAGTACATTAAATGAAATCTAGCTTTGCAGTATTTATCAATTTCCCTGGCATAAATACTCTCTTCATGGTCAGTTTTAAACTGCCAAAATGATAGCCTTGAACATTGACATGATAAGATATTCCAGTAGCACATCATTGTATTTTATTTCCAACAAAATGATACAGTGGCAACAAATAAAGCCCAGAACTTTCATAATAACGCAGTAAAATTATTGGGATCCTCAAATTTTAAACCTATTTTAAATTTTTATTTATGTATAATTTATTTAATTCATACATTCAAAAAAATATTTTAATTGATTTCAGAGAAAGGAAAAGAAAGAGAGAGATAGAAACATCAATGTTGAGAATCACTGAGGCTGCTACCTGTACCTCCCCTCTCCCTGGAAATTGAGCCTGCAACCCATGTATGTGCCCTGACCAGGAATAGAACCATGACTTTCTGGTTCATAGGTCAATGCTCCACCACTGAACCACACCAGCTGGGCTATAGTATTTGGAAAATTTTTTTAAAAATATTTGTATTTTTTTATTGTTGATAGTATTACAGATGTCTCCCATTTCCCCCTGTATATATATTTTGGTGGATCTATTCCAGACCTCCCTCCTCCCCTGAGAGATATGTCAGTTTGGACCAGTTAAGCAGACCTCCAGTCCCATCTTGTCCTCCTGCGCCACCTGTGGGGCCTCAACACCTATACTCACCAAGGTCATTGGCTGGGATGATCCCTCCTCTGGTCGATGCGAAAACTACATTACCCAGAAAGCACTGCGCGCATGCCTCAGGCTGTTAGCAGCTTTTTGGTGCCTGCACATCCTGTTAGGGCGGGACATCCGGAGTCCTCCTCCCGTCAGCCATTTTGAAAACTCACGTGGGTTCAGAGAGTCTCAAGCTTCCCGGCTCTGGTGACGAGTAGGAGGAGGCGGTGAAGGCAGCGTCCCCGCCCGGCAGGGTGTCTCTGAGGCCGGTTGACCCCCAACCAGCGGGATTGGGATCCCCGAGGCTCCCCGACTCCTCTCCGCCGACAGAGTCCCCTCGGCCTCACCCCATCGGACCCTCAGCCTCGGGGCCGGCTCCGGTCGGGTCCCGCCGCCCAGGGCGCAGCGTCCAGCGCAGTGAGTCCTCGTGGGGACCCGGGGTGTGAGGGGAGGGAGGGCGCCGGGCTGCGGGGCCGCCGGGGGAGGCCGTGGGGGGCTGAGCCGGGAGGGGGCACCCAGGCCTGGTTTGTGCCTAAAGGCGACGGAGAGGACGAGCGGCGGGTCCGGGAGGAGGTTCACTTCCTGCTCCGGGCGCCGGGGCCGGGGGTGGTTGTGAACAAAGAGGGACCTTGAGCCCCGAGGGCGGCGGGCATCACCGGCCCGGGGCGGGGCCAGGGCCCTGAGCAGCCGGAGCCCCTGGGTCCTGGGGTGGGTGCCCGGCCCTCAGCCCTTTCGTTCCCACCGGTTCCTGCGGGTGCAGAGCCGCGGAGGGGACGGGGCTGTGGGGCTCCTGTCAGGGCCTCACTCTCTGGTGGCCTCTGAGACAGTGGGGTCCTGGGATGTTGGACAGACAATCGGCCCAGAATCCTAAGGCCACGACAAGGGCTTTACAAAGTGGACCCTGGTTTTGGGAACCGGTGCAGTGAGATGTGGGAGTGTCAGCCTGACTGTCTCCTGTCCCGGGTGTGATTGCAGCCAAGGGCACAAACCAGGGGTGCAGGCTCCTCCCCTGCTCCTGCCCTGCTCGGGTGTCCGGCAGGGGGCACCCTATCTGCTCTTTCCCTCACGGCCATGGTTTCCTCTATATTCCCGCTCCCACACACTCTACAATCAATGGAGAAATGTGCTCAGGTGAGGATGTGTATGTATATGTATGTACTTTTACTGATTAGGCTTAGAAAGGAAAGGGGGGGGGGGGGAGACAGAGAACATCATTGAGCAAGAACGAAGGCTCGTGTGCTTATGTACAACCCCTATTGGGAATCCAGGCCTCAGCCTCAGCATGTGACTGACCAGGGCTGGAACCTGTGACCTCTCAGTGGTGGGTTGATGCCCAAGCAACTGACACAACCAGCCAGGACCGTAGATCACGTTACTACAGGGAATCATGGTCAGGATGGTAATGGTAGTGGTAGCTCACAGGGACAGTGTGACCCTGTGGACGGGTTTCCTGCCGGGGCCCCTGTTTGTGGGAGGTGGGTGTCATAACACAACAAAGGAACAGAGTGGTCATGTAGAGTGTTGAGGAGAGATAATGGCTTTGCAGTGGTCAAGGCCTTTAAAAGATGAGTGGACATGAGATGAATAGGAGGCTGAAGAGTAATTCACACAGGACGAGGCTAAGGCTGGTACAGAGTTACTTCTCTAAACACTCACTAGGATTTTTGCTTTGACGCTTGGTGTGGCCTGGGGTGTTGCAGTCAGACTGGTGGGTGAGCTTAGAGCAGGGGTGGTCATCTGTGAGACTCACTGGGCTTGGTGCAGAGGGCCGTCGGGGCTGGGACTTGGGTGACGGGTAAGTGGAGAGATGTTGGCTGTGACTGCTAAAGGGACATCAAGTGCAGCACCAGGCGAGGTGGGCTCTGGGAATCTGAGATCTGATTGTGTTTCTCAATAATTGAGGTTGAAGGAAAATAGAGTCATGGAGAGAGGCCTTCGTAGAAGGTCTCAAGGCTGCCTCTGAGTGTCTGGGCAGTACTTGATCCTGTTTGAATTTGGCAAGCATTCTCTGGACCACACCTGCTGAGTAATGACTAAGAGGCCAAGGAAATGCCTATGGGGTTGGAGCTGTCGGAGTGCAGGTGTGAACAGGGTGTGGTAGAAAGAGTCATGTGCCCTTGGTGAGGGAGTGTGAATTGTGAATTCATGGCCACAGGGCCCTGACATTGACCTTAGAATAAATGAAGGGTAAACCCATGTCTGCTGGCGTCTCGGTGATATAATACTGGTAATTTTAGGGTAGTTGCCTGAAAAGAGGGGTGTTGTGTTGCTACATGCCAGGTCCAGAGATAAGATGACATTTACCTACCCAGCTGCCTTTTGTTGTTGAGGGCTGACACACTGACCCATAGGAATGAGAAGCATACCAATACAGCCATGTTACCTGGGCTTGAAACTCTCCACTGGCGTGGGTAAAGCAGAAGGGTGAGAGAGAAATAGGTTATGGCAATGGTGAATAATTTTGGAAATGAAGGTGGTTAGGAAACCACTCATGCTCAAGGCAAATCTGTGTTACCTTCAAATTTGTACACCTGGGAAGGAAGCTGTGTGAGAGAAGTGTTTTCAAAGAACTCTGTGCAGCAGGTAGTGAGAACTGATGGCCTCATCACCCTGGAAGGAGGGTGTAAGGGGGAAGTGTGATGCCATGTATTTGGTGTCTTCGAGGAACCATCTGGGGGACTACAAGGAGACTGCCTGACAAGAGCAGCATGAAATCACTCACATCTCTCCCTGTCCTATGTTCTTGACACCCACTTTATTGACAAGGGGCAGTGTGGCCTACATGTGAGGCCCAGAGCTCAGGTATCTTCTCTCTGCTCAACTGCCTTTATTGCTGTGGGAAGACACAGCATCAGTAGGAATATAAGAAGAGAGTGACTTGCGAGGGAACAAGGCCTGCTGTCTCCTCTGATGTGTGGAGTTGAGGGAGCAAATAGTTGGGGGGCGGGGGGGAGCATGATGAGTATAAAGGCCTGGGAGAGAAACTGATCATGGACTGTACTGTCCCCATCATGACAGGATATGGACTTTGAGGACGTGGCTGTTGCCTTCTCTGAGGAGGAGTGGGGCCTCCTTGATGAGGCTCAGAGACTTCTGTACTGCGATGTGATGCTGGAAGTGTTTGCACTTGTGTCATCTATAGGTAAGCCCTCCAAATCACTCTTGGTGTGCTGAGGTGATGTCCTCTCTTCCTTCATTCTCCAAATGTAGCTTTCTCTCTCTCATAGCCAGGCAATGGCTCTGCTAATTTCCCCCACTGTCATGTAAAATGGGCATGGCTGCCAGGGGTGAGCTCTGGGGAGACCCCTGAGCTAAGGTCTTTAGGAACATCGCTAACACCCACTGCCTCAAAGGTGTAGCAAGTGTCTGGGAGTCAGGAGCCTTGCAGTGAGCTTACTGGGTCCCAGCTTTTAGTTACTCTTCCCAGGAGGGTGACTGGATCCACCTGCATGGCTTCCACGTCTCCCACCTTCCTCTAACTAAGGGTTCTTTGTGTCAGCCAGTGCCACGTTATGGTCTTTACTGACATGAACCATGAGCTGTTCTTGTAAGACCCTCCTTCAACTGTCCGCAATATTCTCTTTGCTGAACACTATTCAGGCTGTGATGATCTGGGCCAGTGTTGACTGCTCGCCTCTGCAGTATCTCCCACATTAACCTGCACATGTATTATGAGGTGCACATACGTGCTTAAATAGTCCTCCACAGCAGGTACTCCTTTATTGAATTTTACTTGGAATAAGACCTAATCAATCTGCACAGCTTGCCCCTGTCATCATCAAAGAAGCCCTGCTGAACGCTGTTAGCAGAAGACTGAGCTGGAGATCTGGCTTCTCTTCCATGAGCTGCTTGCCATGTGTTGCGTCATAACTCTGGTGAGGCCTTCCCTGTTTTGTGATGTTCAGTGGATGAGACCTTCACAGCAGCCTCTCATTAATCCTTCCTGCACCTCTCTTATTTTCAGACAGTTGCACGGAAACATATAGATTATGTGTAAAACACTTTAGCAATTGGATTTCCTCTGTCACGACAGCCAACACTCAGTTCCTCAGCATTTCTGTCTTTCAGGTTGTTGGCATGAAACAGATGAGGAGGCCTGTTCTGAGCAGAGCGTATCTGTACAAAGAGAGTCACAGGTCAGGGCTTCTGAGACAGAGCCAGCAACCCAGAGGGCCCATCTGTGTGAACGCTCTTTCTCCATGATCAAAGACATTCTGCACCTGACTGAGTCACAAGCAGCAGACTTTGAGCAGAAAGCCTTCTTCAGTGACGTATGTGTGAGACACTTCTGTTTCAGTGCAAATCCTCACCTGCAACAGAGGGAAGCCAGTCTAGAGAAGCCCTGGAAAGAAGCTGTGGACAGGGCCTCGTTTGTGACCAGGTGCAGCTTCCGATCTTGGGTGCCTTCAACCAATACAAAGGTTGGGAAAGTCTCCCCAAGCATCTCAGGGCTTCTCCAGCACCAGGCCCCTCTCAGCACTGGGGAGCCACACAGTGCACGTGAGATTTTACAGGAATTAGTCAGTGGAAAAAATCATCACAATTGGGGTGGACATGAAAACGCTGCCACCAACAGCGGGAAAGTCATTCGACATCAGAGTGTCTGCTCTGAAGAAGTGAATAATGAGGGTAACAAATGTGGGAAAGTTTCTAGACATACATTTAACCTCAATCAACATAGGAGAGTTAACGTTAGAGAAAAGTCCTATGGGTGTACTGATTGTGGGAAGTTCTTTAGAAAAAGCTCTACCCTCATTTCAACACCGGAGAGTTCATACTGGTGAAAAGCCCTATGTGTGTGGTGATTGTGGGAAGTCATTCAGTCAAAAGTGTAGCCTCAACAGTCACCGGAGAACTCACACTGGTGAAAAGCCCTATGTGTGTGGTGATTGTGGGAAGTCATTCAGCCAAAAGAGTGACCTCACCAGTCACCGGAGAACTCACACAGGTGAAAAGCCCTATGTGTGTGCTGGTTGTGGGAAGTCATTCAGCCAAAAGAGTAACCTCACCAGTCACCGGAGAACTCACACTGGTGAAAAGCCTTATGTGTGTGGTGGTTGTGGGAAGTCATTCACCCAAAAGAGTAACCTCATCAGTCACCGGAGAACTCACACTGGTGAAAAGCCCTATGTGTGTGATGATTGTGGGAAGTCATTCAGTCAAAAGGATGGCCTCATCAGTCACCGGAGGACTCACACTGGTGAAAAGCCCTATGTGTGTGGTGGTTGTGGGAAGTCATTCAGCCAAAAGCGTAGCCTCAACAGTCACCAGAGAGTGGACACTGGTGAAAAGCCCTATGTGTGTGGTGATTGTGGGAAGTCATTCAGTCAAAAGTGTAGCCTCAACAGTCACCGGAGAACTCACACAGGTGAAAAGCCCTATGTGTGTGGTGATTGTGGAAAGTCATTCAGTCAAAAATGTAGCCTCAACAGTCACCAGAGAGTGCACACTGGTACAAAGCCGTATGAGTGTAGTGAATGTGGGGAATCATTTTGCTCTAGTCACCATCACCTTAAGAGAATTCACACTGGAGAAAAGCCATATCAGTGTACTGATTGTGGGAAGTCATTCAGGAAACGCTGTAACCTTATCCGACATCGCAGAGATCACTTTGGAGAGAAGCCTAATGAGTGTAGTGATACTGGGAAATCATACCGGTAAACCGCTGCTCTCACACATCATCAGAGGGTTCACACTGGAGAAACGCCATATGAGGGTGGTGATTGTGGGAACTCCTTCAGCCAAAGCTCTATGCTCATGGGCCACAACAGAACCCTGTTATTAGACACCTGTCTGTTTTCCTTCCAGCCCTGCCTTTTATTGCCTCTACAATCAGGCAGTTCACATTGAGTCTCTGAGCCTGGTTTCCTCCCCAGGAAATAGATGATTAAGCCATGTCAGGTTGCGGAGAGGATTAAATGATATAATTCTTGTGAAGCATTGAATCCAGGGCCTGACAGGTGCAGTGAACATTGAGTAACTTAGCTCCATAGCTTCACAATGTGTGCTGACTGCAGATACGCAGACATTGTATGAAATGTTGACTTGTTGGTTTTGTATCTTCTCAAATTTTGTTGTTAGATGAATAGGATAGAATTGTGTACGTTGTCTCATAGCCTGCTGTTTCTTGTAAAAATGTGAAATTTGTAAGTTAGAAATAAAGCTCTGACAGCTGGAGTGGGGCTGTTGTGTGAGTGTCATCTCATGGACAGAAAGGTTGCCTGTTCGTATCCTGTTGAGGGGCAGAAGCCAGTTTCCTGGCTAGATGCCACTGGGGGGGGGGGGGGGGGATGCAGGAGGCAGGCAATCAGTGTTTCCATCTCATTTCCTCTGAAAGTCAATTTAAATATATAATCTCCATTTAGGTTTGTAGCCTTCAGGAATAATAGAAATAACGCATTTCACCCTGAGGAGCATTCTGAGCTTCATTTAATCTGAAATATTTCTAAACATGAGAACATGGCAGACAATACTCTCCAGATTCCTGAGTCAAGACCCCAAATCCTAACTTGGTCATTTCCCAATGCCACTGCCCCCCCCCCCTCCCCTGCAACCACAGTATTTACAAAGGTCAGTACCAGGTATCATCATGCCATCTGCAGGGCCTGGAAAATTACATTCCCCAAAGGGCAATGTGCCTAATGATGGCTGGGTTTAGCCAATGAAAACCCAGGAGAAGTACATGGTCCCAGTGCTTATTGGTTTGGGCGGGACTTCCATTATCTTCCACGTGGTGGTTATTTTGACCTTTTTATTGTGTTTATAGAGGCAGAGGGTCCAGGACTGGGTTACAACCAGGAAGGGGCTTCATGGGCAGCGGCCCGGCTGTGCAGGGTGTGTCAGGCTTGTGGAGCCCCCACTGGCGGGATTAAGGCCTCGGTGCCTCCCAGACTCCTCTCTCCTCAAAGGGTTCACCTCAGCCTCATCCCATGTACCCTCCTTCCGACGGTGCTCGCGCGTGTCTGGTTCTGCAGCCCAGGTCACAGTGTCCAGAACAGTGAGTCCTTCGTGGCTGATGTGCCCTGTGGTGGGGGAAAGGGGCTGTGGGCCGCAATGCCACTATGAGGACATGGTGGTGCGGCTGAGCCAGGATTGTTCAGCAAAACCCAGGCCTGTTTTTGTGTCTAAAGGCGACATCAAGAGGCGAAGTTGTGCGTGAGGAGTTTTACTTTCATTCTCAGGAAGCCGGGGTCATCGTTTGCTGTGATCAGTAGATGGACATTGTGTGAGGCAGGGTTCTGACATTTGCCCAAAACTGCCCAGAGGAAGGACAGTCTAGAAGGGAGAGGACAGCAGGAGGGCGGGAAGGAGGACCCTGTAGGTGATGAGGTCACTGGCAGGTGCGCATTGGACTGAGCCCCGAGGAAGGCGGGCAACACCCTGCCCCGGGGCTGGGCCAGGGCCCTGAGCAGGTGGAGCCCCCGGTTCCTGGGGTGGGTGCCAGGCCCTCAACAGCCCTTTAGTTCCCAAAGTTTCCTGGTG